AAACTTTTAACAGCTGTGCAAGCCTACACTGATGCACAGTTGAAGGAAGCTGCTCTTAATGGGACTTGAACAGTGTCTTAAACCTCATTAAAAATAGATTTATATTGATCTGATACCATTCCGCATGCTTTTTGTTGTCTACAAAAAAAGGTTGTTGTTCCTACAATAGGCAATGAATATTTTTGTAATAATGGCATGCATTAATACTGAATGAGATGTTCTTTCAAAATATTCCATTACTAATGTTTTAAATGATGCACTTTTAGAGCTGGGATACCTGGCTTCTTGAAGATATGACTAATTGCTTCTCCATGTATTAATACTGCCTGAAAGTATTTTAATAGTTGTGAGGGACTTTAAGTGTAGATGTTGCATCTGACAATGAAAAGGACTAGCTTCATGTAAAAACTTCTCACATTTGTGTTCACTTAGGAATGGTAAGAAGTTCTGGAGAAACACTCAGTTTTCAAATGAGCTTGTTTTTTGCAACAATTTCTCTTTTGACTTATCTTGTCTATAGACAAAGCATGAAATGGCAACTTTTCACCAGCACTTTTCAGACAGGTAAAACTCAATAAACTTCTGTTCTCCCTAGATTCCGTACAAGTGTTTTTTGTTTTTTGGGGTTTTTTTTAATTTAAACATGTAAAGATTGTCACTTGGGGGGAGGAGGGGAGAAAGAAAAAAAACACAACTTTTGGAAGGGTTCAGCTATCAAAATAAGCTTGTAAATAGTATGTGAGTAGTAAGTCTAGTGTTAAGCTATTTAATTAAACTGAACTATTTCTAATTTTTATTTCTCTGTCTTGAGTAGGTAAAGGGTACAGCAATTATCTGTAAAGAGGTGTACAGACTATTAGGACAGGATAAAATTACCATTTTCCTTCATATGAACTTCAGAGTAAAGGTTTCTTAGCCTTCATTTTAAATTATGAATAAAGATTTAAATTAGCTACCATGTAGCTGATTTGAAAAATCAGAAACCTGAAATGTTTAACTTTTATACTGGGAAATTCTTACTAGGTAACTTTTAGTGCCTTCAAATGTGGAGCAAGGGCCTTTAATTTCAAAGGTGTAAAATGGCCACTGTGTGTGTCCAAATGAGCTGAGGTTCCTTCTCCTTGCCATGCCCCACTCCCCCTGGCACCCCCCAGGTGGGCACACACAGGGTCACAGGGGAGGCTGAGGAGATGCTTGTCCAAGACAAAATGAGCTGCAAGGCTTTATTTACATCCAGCCTGCAGAGGGTGAGGTGATCCCGTGAGGACAGATGCCATTTAGCACTGACCAGTAATTACTTTCAGCTGGGGATGATGCTGCTTGTGGAACAGCAGTAAAGAAAACTCCTTCCTTTTGTACTGAAATGTCTGCTGTAGAAGTTCCCCAGCACTGGAGAGAAAATCTGGATGGAAATTGAAAGTAGAAGGAAGAGTTGTAGACTAAAGGAGTTGTGAATCAGTATGGAAACAAAAACAAGAGTGGGGAGGGTGGGTATTGTTTTTTGTGTTTTTAATCCCCTGCACCCTGCCTCTTTCTCAGTAGGAGATTTGGAAAGGAAAAATATATTTCTCAGCACCAAGTCCTGCTGAATGATTTCATACAACTCTTTAAATGCAGTGTTCTCAGGAGCCTGGTACTGAACCTGGACTTGCCCTATTTAAGTTTACCTCTCTGTGAAGTTCATTCATCATTATTTTTGGAGAGATTGAGTTAAATAGAGCTTGAAGTGGAACAAGAACTTTGCATCAGAAGGTACGCTTTGGTCTTCTTAAAAAATGAGGTAGGTTGCCTGTGATGGAGAAAACTGCATAATTTAAGGGTTTCTGGAAAAATCCTAGATGCTAAGAGTATGTGGGCAGCTCTGAGTGTGGATTTAAAAACCACAGAATGCTCAAAGCTTTAATCTAACAGATTTTTGCAAGTATTCAGAGCTTTGACTTCCCTTCTACTGTAAAAAGCTCATGGTCATCAATGTATTTGGAACAAAAAATTTTCATATTCAAGTATAGAAAGTTTACTTAGCTGTGTATATTATGTGTTAGAGAGGATTATCTTATTTTGAATTTGCTTTACACTTGTATGGAACAAAAATGTGTCCTTCCAGTACCCAAATGTTATGTGACTTGTGAGCATATTTCTGTTTTTTCTGAGCTATTTCTGTTTTTCTGACACAAGAGAGCCCCTACAGTGATAAGTCCTCCAGGGTTTATTGTCCCTAACAAGGTCTCTCTTAAACCTGCTGGGCTGCAGATTCTAACCTCAGAAACTGCCACTTCACTCCTAATTACAAACAACGGGACAGATGCACTTAACACCATAAATATTTTAATGGCTTTTATTTAGTACCAAGTTCTCTTAACATTTTAAGCGTTCTTGTGAATGTGAAAAAGCTTTTGTAACGTTAGGTCCCAGTTAGTAGTTAGGTTACATTTGGTAGTGGAATTAATGAAAGTGTATCAAAGATCTCCTTTGATAAAACTTTTAGTTCTCTGAGACTGCTGGAGTTCTGGAGGATGTGTAGAAGAAGACACCTGAGCACAGCTGGCTGGTGGGCCCAGAGAGAGGATCTGTGTACTGCTACCCAGGTCATGGTTTATCATCAGTAACACACTGCTCTCATTTGAGGTGTTCTTCAGGAAGGGCAGCCTAGAAGGGCCAAGAGAGCAATTCAGGTCAGTGCCTATGAACAGTTTACTGACCTGGCCATTTGATCTTTTTGAAATAATGTGCACGATCTCTAGGTAAAAATAATACAGATGATGGTTGATCTGCATACTGCTAATGGCTTGACAAATACCTTGAAAATTACAGTCTGTCACCTGTATTTTAGTGGATCCATGTGTTAGTCTAAAGACTTGGGCTTCCTGCTGCAGCGTCACATTGTCAAGCAGAAAGCTGCTACAGTGGATCTCATGCGGGATCTCATGTTTCCAAATGCCCCAATGTGTTAAAGTAGGTCAGAAATTGCATAAGATGCCATTACTGGAAACTGCTGTAGGCTGACTTGCATATGAAAACTCAGCAGTGCAACTGGCAAATGCACTCTGACAAAGAGAAATGCAGCCATGGCTTAAAACATGACAAGAGAGCTCTCTGAAATCTCCCTAGGATATGAATGGCTGTTGGAATTGTGAGATGTCTTTGCCCCTTCAGTTCATGTTCCTGCTATCTGCTGAGCCAGAGCTGCCTGCCTGGCTTGTCAGGGGGGCTCACGTTGTTCTTATCTGCAGGGAACTCAAGGCACACGGCTCCTTAACTCCTCCTGCACCGCACAAAATGCGTTCTTGTGTTCCCCTGCTGGCCGGGCTCCTTGAGAGCACACAGCACACAGCCAGTGCTGTCAGGGCAAGAATCTGGAGCAGCTCCTCCACTGACTGAGGGGTTGCTGGTGATCAGTAAGGGCCAGGGCAGTGTGGGGCTCAGTGCACACACAGCTCTCTGCAGTTTCTCTGTTCAGTTTAACACCACCAAGCCCGGGGAGCACTGAGCCGGGTACAGAATGTGCATTTTCTCTCTTCCAAAGCACTGTCTCAGGGCTTTAGCACATTCCTGGGTATCCAATTCATGCAGTATTTTACCCCCTATATATAGTTACAAAAACATGCCAATGGGGAAGGAAAAAAATAATTCTGGAAGTACTTTAGTCACTCCTCAGGGTGCCTGCTTGTTCTGCTGGATGTGCATCCTGTGCCCATGAAACCAAACCCACTTGGTTAGGAATGTCTGATGGCCCACTCTCTTCCATGCCCTTGGACTTCACTACATTTTACTTTCAGGTTTTTTATCTTTTAAGAATTTGAACACTGGAAAGAACAGTTTTTAAGAAACTCCCCCCCCCTATTTTATTGGTTTTTTTTTTTTTTTGCTACTGATATTTTCATATAAACTTTTCTAACACAAGTTTAACCAGTTGAATAGAAACAAGAGAACTCCCAGTTGGGGGGATTATATCTATTAATAATCAGACTAGGGTATATTTGGCTGCAAATACATTTTAAAATTATAATTATATTTTTAAATCATCTTTTAGTTCAGTGTACTTTTAAACTCTGAATGGATCATTAGTCAGAAAATATACTGCTTGGTGATACATTTTACAAAGATTTGAAATATGGGCACTCCTCCCTAAAATGAATGAATTTGCAGTTATTTCTGAAAAATCTTCACCGTCCAGGACTGCTTTATTTCCTGGAATTGTTGTATCTCTGGTGGTGTATGTGCCCATTTGTCATCATGCCAATCACCCATTCCCTACAGATAAATAGAGGGTCAATACCAACCATCTCAGGAGCACACACACGGTTGTACAGTTAGATGTGCTTGGAGGGTCTGCAGTTAATGTACAAACCTCAGCAGGTCTCTGCCAGTCCCAAAGCTTCTGCTCCTCCTTTTGCTGCCTCAGGGCCAACAAATACTTGTCTGATAAATGCTCTGATACAGTTGACTCAGTCATTTGGCATTGGCCTCTAGACAGAGTAGCCCTATCACATCCAATCTTGATTTAATAGAATTAATGCATTGCCTGATGACAGAAAACGCTAGGTAGAAGTTTGGCAGAACATTAAGTGGAAGTTTTTCAGCCTAGATTGAATGTCTAGAACTTTAGTCACGCTAATGAGATGACGAGAAAATATCAAAAGGTGAGAAGGTTTGAAAGTAATAACAATAAAAACCTGGGCTTTCACGGGGCTTACATCAGCCTGGCCATTCTGATTGCAAAGATCCAGCAGCTGTGTTAACCTACATCTTATTAGCAGCAGTTACAGCAGCTTTTTCTACAACTTGGTTAATTTAGTATTAACTGTACTTAGTTACTTGCTTATGCTAATGTGGAAGTGTTATCTTAGTGTTAAGATGCTAATCCCAGACTCTCCGGAAATCAGGAATGTTTACAAACAGGTGGCTTTGGCAGCGGCGTTCCCGCAGGCTCCCGGCGCGCCAGGCCCGCGGAGGAGCGCGGGGCGCGGCGTGACCGGAGCGCGCGCGGGCCGTTACCGTGAGGGCAGGGCGCGAGCGCGGCCCCTCAGGGCACCGAGCGGCGGCCGGGATGCAGGAACCGGGGGCAGGAACCGCGGGCAGCGCAGGTACCGCGGGCGGGACGCAGGACCGTGGGTGGGCAGGTCAGGGCAGGGGCACCCGGCGGCGGAGCGGGTGCGGCGCTCCGCGGTACCGGAGCCAAAGGCCGCCGGCCCGCCTGGGCTCGGCCCCGCGGGTGCCGGGGCGGGTCCCGGCCCGTCCGTGCCCCTGGAGCAGGGGAGGGGAAGGCGCTGGGCGCGGGGCCCCGCTCCGGAGCGCGGAGGGCGTGCGGGAGCTGCGGGGCCGTGGCGGGGTGAGAGGAGGGGGGGCTGTGCAGGGCAGCGAGCGCGGAGAGCGGCCCAGGCTGAGGCATCGCCGAGGGGGCCGGAGCGCAGTGCCCCCAGCAGTGCAACGCACACGGGCACACGCGGGAACTCGGCAAATACCGGCCGGGCCCTCGAGACAGGGATGCAATTCCTTGGAAGGGTGCTGTGGTCCAAAGCTGTCATCCCAAACCAGCACAAGAACTGCCTCTTAACAAAACACATGAACATGCAAACACCTCTTTTTCTGATGCTTAACTGAGGTGTGGCCTTAAAGCATGCTGGCAGATGTGGAAGCTCCACAGGTTTCTTTTTTACCCTCTTTAAAAAATAACTCTTACCTTTCCCGCGGAGCAGCGTGGGCGCGGTGTGGGCAGGCACCGCGGGCTGGCGGGCGCGCTCACAGCCTGCCTTTCCTTGCACCAACTTGTTCTCCGTGCACTCAGCCCAGTCCTGTCACTGGGAGCTCTGTTTGCTGCTTTAATTTCACTCTGCAGAGCCGGAGACTTAAATTATACACAGGTCAATGCTAGGACATTTTCCCGGGGTTTACTCATTTGAAACGTTTTTTAACTTCTAAATGTGCCAAAACATATATGGTGCTTATTTATTACAAATAACTGTCTTGCTTATGCCAGCAGTTGCTGTAAAAATGCAGTTTGCTGCTTTTTACATAATATGGCGTTAAATGTAATTTTTGTTATTTAATATTTGAAAAATAATGTTCTGTTAATGGTGGCAGATTAATTGAATGTAATGTTTGTATGTAATATTGTCTTTGCTACACAACCTGGACTTTAATGTCAGGATGATGAAAACTTGAGTCAGCACAGGTCATTTGAACCAAGGGATTGGCTGTGTGGTACAAGAAAGGTGCTTTGACAATTTTGCCATTTTGTAGCTCTGTTTGCCGCCTTATGCTAGAAGAACACAAAGCCACCTGTTCTATTTGCTTACTTCTTCCTTTTGATGTCACCTCATTGTTGTAGGCTTTTCTCTCGTTTCCTGTGCAGCTTTGCCTGGGACAGTGGTTTTCAGTTTTTTAATGGCTCTGTGAGTTGAGTGAGAGATTGCTGAAATGTTACAAAACTGAGCCTGCAATGAGCTGTCCAGGGGGCAGCTGTAAGAACCAGTGGGCAGCAGTGCCTCCAACAACTTGGGACTTGATTTAACCTTTGGGACAGATGGGAAGTTCTGTGAAATGTACAGGAACAGTTTGTTCCATTTTGTTACCCTGAGCTGTGGTTCAGCAAGCAGTGCCAGTGCCATCAGGTTTCCAGCCTTTTGAACGATGTGGAGGCGGAGGAGCAGAACAGGAGTTCGGTTTCGTGTGGGACCCCCGGCAGGCGAGGGACGGGCACTGCGGCCGAGCTGAGCCTCCTCAGGAGCGACCTACACGGGTCACACGGCTCAGGGCAGCACTCGTGACACGGCGCTGGACAACGAACTATTGTTCACATCTATCTCCTATCCTACACTCGGGCTTGAGACGGAGTTTAATGAATAATAAACCTACACAAATTTGGGGGTTTTCTCGTTTTCCTGAATGTTTCCAGATATTTTTGCTTTCTAACAGAATGTATGGAATTCAACAAGATACAGTTTCAAGTACTGTTATTTTTAACCAAGGACAATATTTGTTGTTGTCTTAATGTTTCCATTATTAGCACAGAGCACCTTAATTCTGCAGCAGTTACCATTGCTTGATTTCTTTTTTTAGGAAACATACAGATTTACCTAGGTGAAGAAAAACATAGACTAGTTTATATGATGTTATCTGGTTGGACAGAGAAACTCTAACCAAAAGTATTTGTAATTTCAGAGAGCACTATTTGCAGATTTCTTAGAGATCCATGCTGAGTACTTCTTAGAAAAGATGAAATGGGCTTTTATGCTTTCACATCTCAGTTGCTTTGTTGGGTTCTTGGGGAGGAGATCCCCAGCTGAAAACACAGCACAAAGAACTAAGGATTCTTTAGAGGAGAGTATTTATTCTAACCAGGTTCACCATCAGCTTTATGTTTCAGAGTCATTCTGATTATGGAGCACTGACACAAAAGAAGGTAAGGATTTTTAGACCTTTTTTTTTAAGAAGCATAAATAAGCCCTAAATATCTTTATTGCTGGTATAAAGATTATACCCTCTCATCCTCTCATTTCTGCAGTCGTGTTTCTTGCCCATAAAAAAGAGTTTGCAAGAGTTCTTAGGTGGTTATTTGCCAAATCTCTTAGTGAAAATGCTTTCCCAAATAGGCCATTGCGTTTTAGATGTAAGGAGTTTGTGGTAGTTTCTATTTATTACACAAGAATGAACTTACAGTTTTGCAAATCTTTGCTATTGTCTTTAACCTTTACTTTTAGCTGGTTTGAGATTAAAAATAGTGAGTCATGGGTCTTCTGTGCACATGGAGAAAAGCAAGCACTGTGATATTACTTGATGTTTTCATGTTTGGCAGAGTTGGAAAACCAACACAGGATGAAGAGGGACTGCATCTAATGCTGCCTAAATTCTTGTCATTTGGGTTCTTGCTACCAAAATGGGATGGTGTATGGAAGGAGGTCTGTTCAGAGTCTACAGGTGTTTGAAGGGGGTTCAGCAGGATAGATCTAGCATGAAACTGGGGGAAAACACTCTGTTTCTGGGCCCTCTCTTAGGTACAGATTACCTGTGTGTCTTGAATGGATAGGGACAACAATACCCCTAAAAATGTTGTGATTATCAAATGTCACCATTTCAGAAGTCCAGCACCTCGCCCTGGATAAGGACAGGATGTTTCTCTGAAGGAGCAGCCAAGGAGGAGGCAGTTGCTGGACTGTGGTGTTTTCAGTAACCAGAGGATGCAATATTTGCCATGTAAAGCAGGGCAGTTCCTTGTTTTCCTAACGAGGTGCACAGACTGGCAGTGTTAACCTTGAGCAACCTTTTCTCTGCAGTGTTCTTCTCAAAGACAAGCTCAGTCCTGTTGCCTTGAAATTCTTTTATTCAGTTCTTCTACAGTTAAGGTTTACATTTCAGTTCACAGAAAACTGGTTGTTCTTCTCCAAAGCATACACAGCTTTCACCTCAGCCTGACTGTCTGCTCCCCACCCCCATTTACAATGTACAATTCCCACTTGCAGCATTTTCAGTAAACATGGGATCAATTGAGTATACAGAAAAAGCTTCTATAAAATTTCCATTAAAAAAATAACAAGTATTTATTTACAAAGTGTTTGCTACTACAAAGTAATATTTCCTATTGGTTCAAATATACTATTTGCTAATGCCAGTGTTCCTATTAGGAAAGTAAAACTTTGTATATGCACTTTTCTTTATATCTTTGTCAGTGTTTAAAGCACATAAAATACTACCACATTTGTTTACACTACTCCTAGCCACGTACAATGTGGTAGTGGAAATTAACACTATTTGTTCAGGACAAAAAAATCAGCATAGCTTAATAGCAGACTTTCTGCAAAAATAAAACTTTAGTTTATAATTTATAGGTATTTGGAAAGAGGGAAATCTGTGAAGAATTTAAAAATGTGCAGCAAATGAAGATGAAAGGGAAACTTGAGCTTTCCTGAAGATACAAGAGCTTAGCACAAAAAATGGGAGAAAATTTTTCCACCAAAGTGTTTGTGTGACCCTTTGTGCCAATACACATCTTGGGAGAGCAAGATGAGTAGATTAAAAAAATTAATTAAAACTTCAAATCCCATATAATTAGCATGCTTGTAATTGGACTTGTTTCTTCCCACCCACCATGTTTACAAAACCCTGCTTTCAGTTCAGCGTTGGAGGTCATTAAACAGCTTTGTCCATGACTGGCCTTGTTCTTAAAAAAAAGTTTAATTTAAAAGTTAATAGGCTTTCAAGTGGTTTCTGCATTTTAAATATAAAAAGGAAGTGTCTCTGCAATTACTTCCATGTAGAAGATAGTGGACATTAAAATGTGCTACTGTAAGGGTGGGGAGGAGGGCCAGACCTGCCTTGTCTGCCCCTTGCTGCATGTTGTAGCACCCTCAGAACATGGGCTGATGGCACATGAGCGTTCAGAATTCAGCAGCAATGCTCCTTGCCAAGGACTCATCCACTGCCAGGTCGTGCCCCAGGTGCAGCCAACAAGTCCTGCTGTAAAACTCTGCCTGCGGGTGCTGGCCAGTTTCTCCTGATGCTCAGTAAGATGTGCAAACACAAAGCTTGTGCCTTGGTGCCAGGGCATGCTGTGCAGTCAGGGCCTGAGGAACGAGGGCAGGCTCATATCCTGCTTCTCACAGGCTTGTTCAAAGCAGGATTCATTTGTTTTGCAGTAGGTGCTTGGGAGATACAGTGTCATAACACTTGCCTATGCTTCTCTGAAGGATTTCTCATGGCTTTGGGACAAGGGAATGTTTCAGAAACTCGTATGATGGGTTGTGATTCAGCTGGTGTTTTCCTGGGGAAATTATGGGAGATCCACTTCATCCCTGCATCAGTATGACCAAATCTACGAATTGTTAAAGCAATTACGATAGCAATGCAACAAACCCATCAAAAAGCCTGGAGACTGGTTCTGTGGACTTTACATTTTCTGATAGTTTTAACTTTTGTGGGCACTCAGAATAGTTGTGTGTGACCTGAAAATGTCAGCAGGAAGGGCTGTGGATATGTGATGTCCTTCCCTCTCTGGCTGCCTGGCTGGTGTGGGTGGGCAGCATGGGCAGCACAGGAACCAGGCAGTGTGAGGGACAAGTGTTTCACCCATGGAGAGGAGAATGGGCTAAAGCCAACTCAATTTGTCTTGGAAAGTTTCTGCATAGATGAGTTTGATTTGCAGCTACAACTGGCTTTAAATTTGACATTGCTGTATCCTGCTATCCCATGCTGGCCATATTTCTAAAGTACCCATGCCTGGAGAATGTTGAGTGCTTAAGAATGGCATTTAGAGAAATCAGATTTAAGTGATTGCACTTTTCTAGCCAATACAGAAGACTAATAATCATAGAGATGCAAGTTTGTGCTTCTGGGATGTTCCTGTGTCTGCTTGGAATTATAATGGCTGTGTTACAGATACTGAACTCTACCAGTCAGTCTGCTTTTCTTCTTAGATAAATGCAAAAGTATTTATTTGCTCCATATTGGTCCTAACTAGGAGGCTTTCCCTTGGGATTTGGATGGTTAGATCTCAGATGTTACTTCTGACCAATTTTGAGCAAGGATTTTTGGTGGCCTGCAGTTTAGGTGGATATCCTAAATGTTGGATTCTTCAGTATTCTCAAAAATCTGGAAGCAGAAAAGAGAATATTTTGGTTTTGTCTGATCTCTGGGTGGGCAGACAGGGTAGGTGTATCAAAGGTGGAGAGTGACTGTACAGCTGTGATGAGCAGCTGTTCCTGGCACGCTGCTGTGTGTGCTGAGCATTCCCTCCCCTCCCTTCAGTGCCAGCTGGGGAGGGAGCCAGGGATGCCCCCTCAGGCACTCCCACTGAAGGAGCTGAGGGGCTCTGGCACACACAGCTCTGCAGTGACTTGCAAGGACAATAATTCTTGGCAGAGGGAATGAACTAATGGGAGTAACATTGCTTATGGGTGGTTTTTGGCAATATACCAGGACTGGGGAGAGGAGAGTTACAGCCTCTTAAAAATACTCACCAGACAAAATCTTGACAGTTAAACAGGAAAGAGATAATCTGATTTGGGAACTCTGTTAAGTCTAAGGACTGAGTTTCGTGATGTTTTATGGTATCAGGATTGGGTTGTGTGAACACCTGCCAGCAGAAAATTAGGTATTTCGAGTTTTTCATGTGCTCAGGTAGGTGTGTGATGTCCTCAACATCACAAATGATTCATTGGTGCATTGCTTGCAGACAGAGGCCAGGATTCAAGCAGTGGCACATTTTAAACAACAAACCTCCATAAATGGGTCCTTGGCTTCTCCCTCCCCTGTTCATCACCGATGCTGCAAGAGGCACCTGAGACACCTGCAGCCTCAGGGACCCAGTTCAGCAGAAGGCTGTCACCTCAAAGGATGGCTACTACCAGAATTTTTTAAATCACAAATTAAAAAAGCACACATAGTCTTTCCCCAGCCCATTACATCTGGTTATTTAATGTAATGATGCCCATGAGAGATTCCTGGAATGAAAAGATATAAATGAGGTGGGTCAGGCAGGAAGATAGCTTGCTTTGGTTTGTTTTCTCTACACCATACCCTGTGGTGCTGGCTTTGGTTTTAAATGAATCCAAACCCCAAACATCTTTAACTTGCTGAAGGGAAAGTCTTTACCATCAGCTGCCTGATTATTTTCAGCTGAAAAGGTCCAGTTAACTACAAAAAGGAGTATTGCCCAGAGTTCAAATGTGGTTAAGTTTCAGCCATACTCTTGAATTAAAATAGTGGATTTGGTCAAAAAAAAGAGCACTTGAAATTTTAAACCTTAACTGTGGAATTGTAAATTCAAGCATCATTTCATGTGTGAACATGAAGGCCTCATTTTTCTTTAAAAAAACAAAAGGATTAAAATTTGGTTATTAGGCCTTTTTACATAATTTACTTCAGGCTGACATAGTTGATCAGCAGAAGCCCTTCTGTGGGAATTCTGTAACCTCAGCAATTTCTAGCTACTCAAAAGGATTTAGGGGTATTTGCAAGCTGTGGTTTAAAAATTAAAACCCCCTAACCAAAATGAAAACACCTACAACAGGGCTTTTACTGGGTTTATGGTGTTAGTTGAAGTCATACCTTCAGCTGAACTGGTCTTATTTGCTAGAGACACACCCTTTCTGAGATTAAGTTGGCATTAATTCCAGTGTGGAAATGTGAAAATTGGTGCACTTTAATACAATTTTAAATACCAAAATCCACAAATATTTTGTTATATTTCCACATAATGGAAAAATGATGTCTCCCACTCATAGTTTTTCATCTAGGTAGTGGAGCTGAGAAGTTTTTCTAAATCAAATTTAGATTTTTCAAGCACCACGAAGTTAGTCCAGAAATAAAGTTTAGTGCACAATAGCTATAAAGGCATTTACATACAGCACTATATTGCTTGCAGTCAAGTGCCTCCTGAATGCATAACCAAGAGAGAGTGTTCCAAGACACAAAAACATCACTTAAATTTACCTTAAATATAAATTTGATAATGAAAATTTGAATAATGAAATAAATTTTAATAATGAAAATCTAAGTGCTAACTTTTTCTCATATGAAGTATAACCTAGTACCAGTTGCTGCTTGATTCCTGTCAATGAATGTCAGGGGTATTGCATGAGACAGGAGATGATGGTGGAACTGAATAGAAAATGGGAAAACCAGGCTGGCTCAGGACCATTTTATTGTGGAAAGTGTTTGCTGGCTCTCAGCAGGAGGCAGGGCCTGTGTGTTGCAGCACTGCCATGAGCTCAGTGAGAGCTCTGTGGTTTGTTAATATTCTCAAGCCCCTTGGTACTCACAATTGCAGCAGCTGCCTTTGGTGAGGTCTTGCATTTACCTGTTTTGGTTTGTGGTTTTTGTGTCTTTTTTAACTATGGCAGCCAAGATCACCAGGAATGATTGAAAAGTTTGCCTGAGATCATACCCAGGTGACTGGCTGGATCAGGTCCCAAATTCTCCTAGTTCCCAGACTTTAGTGTGGCCACAAGACTGCAGTGCTTCAGTTGAACTTCATCCTCAACTGGTACAAAGAAGCCCAAGGAAAGAATTTACTTTTGAAGTCTCTTCTAAATGTTCTAACTTGTTTTGTCCTTTGTATTCAACTAGTCCAGGAAAAATAACTTTTGAAGGCTTGGTTCAACTGTCTAATAAATGTTATGTGTGCCCATATTTTTTATCTTTAAATGTGATAGTTTGATGTTTGCCAGAAAGCAAGCAGCTGTGCAGGCTGCAGCTCTGAAGGGCACAGACATCAGTGGAGGAAAGGTGTCACTGAAGATCTTCCTCCCCCTGTAAAGCAGACTGGCTGCTAATAAAATACATTCCATTTCTGGGCTGGAAGCCTTTTTTTTTGCCAGGTTCTTATAGTTCAAAGTGCTGCTCTTCAGGAACTGCTTAGTATTTTGCTTTTTTTTCTTTTTACATCAATCTTGAGTGGGAAATGTGAAGAAAGTGTAAAGTAAAATGTGTCCCTCATGTATTGCTGGGGAGAGGGTGGTACAACTACTCTGGAAGATATTTCCCTGTAAAGAATTCCTTAGGCTCATGCATATGTAAGTTACCTTTGATATGTCCTTTCCAATGAAAGCTTACCGACAGGGCAGTTTTGAAAAAGCAATGGGTTTTTTAACAATGAAAGTGATGATCTGTTTAAATGAAATGTCAATCATGAAGCTGACAATCCCATACTAGTAGGTGTGAAGTACCTGCTCCCTTCTCCCCCCATTTCAAAAGTGAGCCACTTGGCTCAATGCACTGACTCTCTCAGCAGGAATACTTTTTTGTGTCTGTAAAGCTTTTCTGGTATGGAGGTAGTGTTACAGATTGGGTGGAAGTGAGGGGGTGAGAAGCCCTCGGTCTGCTGCTGCCTGTGAGCCACGAGCCCAGGATGGGCTGGGCAGTCTTGCCCCGAGGGTGAGTACCATAGCAGGCATTTCAGTTTGTGCATTTGCTATTCATTTGTAAAACAGCTCAGTCCAAAGCCATGGCTAGCACTGGTGCTGCCCTCAGGCACTCCTCAGGTGCAGGAGTTTGAGCTGTCTGTGAGAAGTTCCTATCTGGATGCTTCTGTTTGTAATGGAAACGTGTGGGCGGTGCTTGTCTATGCCTCACAGTTTCACCTGTGGCTGACAGCCCTGGGCTAACTCCTGCACACAGCCAGGCAGCTCTTGGGCTGCGGCCTCGTTTTGTCTCTGTAGCTCAGGCTTGGTGCTCTTGGAGTGAGTGCAGGTTTGGCTGTAGAAGATGCTGGGGACACAGCCCAGGCTGTGAGAGCGATGCTGCAGCAGCCCAGGGCAGCTGCTGCCATTGCTCAGTGAGCAGCAGCACAAGGGACCTCACCCACCCCCAGAGCAGAACAGAGCCAGGACAGCTGCCCCAGACTGCTGCGACATGGGGCAGCCCCTGCAGGCACTGGGAAAACTGGCAAGATTGACCTCATGAACAACAGTTACCTTAGAGCTGGGCAAAGTCCTGGCCACTGGAACACCATGGGAAGAGTACATTTACAGTGTATTTTACATTGATATTCAAGGTTTTGGGGTTTTTTTAAAGGTCTTTATGATTGGATGTGATGTTAGCTATGGAAAACACAGCCTCCTGCTGCAAGTCTGAGTTTAACAGTTCACATGGGATATGTGCTGGGTAACTTGAGCCACAGAGTATTTTACATGGTTTGACACAACTTTCAAAGGTGCATCAAGGTGAGTGCAACTGAAGTTACCGACAAGAAAGTCTGTCAGAATGCAAAACATGAAACAATGTATTGTTGAAATTTAATTTTTTTCCCTAAGAACCTCAGCCTATGATTTTAAAAGTTATGTGACCTGCCCACCCCAAATTTGAAAAGACTGCCTTGAAAACACACTGCCTGAGATCCTTAACATAGTGGGAGGCCTTTTTTAAAAAAACAAGACATGCTCTAATTTCAAAGGGATTATATAAAGTTAGAACAATAAAGGAGAAACTACACTGAATACGCTGTAATCTAGAAACACAATTTTTTTACTTATTTTCCTTGAAAAAAGCTGGTGCAGAGAATACTGGTTTTTTTCCTGACTGTTTTAATAATGGCTAAGAATAATCACTTAAAATAAATTAGGCCTGCAATATAAATGAACATATGAACCTTTTATACTAATGCTTCCTGTTACTTTTAGAGTATCTAAAATGGATATAAACTATTTCAAGATTCATTTAATCACTTGCAATTTATATTACTTTAAGAATCTTCTATACAGCAAGTTGAACAGAAAAAAAGCAAACATTTTAACAGTCCCTTTTCCCTATAACCACTTTCATACAAAATAGTTTTAAATTATGATTTTAGCACATTTGTGTGTGCTCTCTCCCCCTTTTTCTAAAGGCAGAACAGCCAAAAGACAATACAAGAATCAGCTTTTACTGACTGACTGTTTTCTCCTCCATTTGAAAAAGACAAGGGGAAGACAGATACTTGAGTCCCAAAATGGAAAAGATGATCTTAAGGTTTACTTTGCCAGATCTCCAGGGACTTTGTTCTTTTCCTCATTTATAGTTTATAAAACCCACTTTGCTCTGTCTCTGCACGTCACTCTGTGTTCAGTTACACAATTCTTCAATTTCAGCTATGGATAAACTTGTTTTGAAGCTTCCATTTTGGTTCACCAAACACAGTGCAAACCAAGGCAAGAAACCAGTAAAATCCAAACAGGAACTCCCATTAAGAATATTTGAGCAGCATTTTGTATATTCCATTTTCTCCTGTCCTCATTCTGGGGAGGAAGAATCCTCATCTTCATCCTCTTCGTCCTCCTCGTTGAAGGAGCAGGGCGTCTCGCCCCGGGACGCGGCACTGCTGGACTGCTGACTGCTGGGGGCAAGCAGCTGCCCCGTTGCTAAGGCCACTTCAGCATCCACACACAACCCTGCGTTCTCACTAGCAACACAACAGAAACGGGCAAGTTTAGAGGGCTTCTCAGGAGGTTTTAAGCTTTTCCTTTTTGGCCTCAGCTTTTCCTTTAGTCAGAGAAATGCTACCAACAAGGAAAAATCCCAAAGTGTTACGGTAAACACAGCTATTAGTTAGGAGAGTTGATAAAACATTGGAAAATTGCATAAAAAAGAATATTGGGTGACTTCCTTTTTTTTTCATAATCAATTAATAGAATTGCTTAAGCTGAAGAAAAAAAAGGAAATCCGTTTTAGTTTCTTTAATACACAGAAATGTTTGCAATATAAAATGAAGCTGTTAATTGTTATGAGAAAGAGCCTGCTGCAAAACATTAATCCCTATTTCCATTTTTTGTGGTACAGGTAACCTCCAAGCAAAGTCTGCTGCTGAGGCATATTTAGGGTTGGGGTTTTGCTCATGGTGTTTTTTTGTTTGGTTGTTGGTTTTTAATTTTAAATTCTTATTAAGTTGTGTGGACTAAACTTCTTTCATGAAAGGTTAAATAGCAGTGCATTTAGAGAGCAGACATTCTTGTGCAATCTTCAGAAATATTACCAGGCTTTTATCCACATGTAATTATCTATCTGTAGTCCATGCCCAGGCAGGAATTTAGGGTTAGTCAGGAAAAGGGGCTTGGAAGTGATTCTATTCTTATGAAACATAGGTACAAAATAGCTGGTATGGTCAATGTTCAAAGCATGTTGATTTGACCTTTCAAACATAATTTTCCTTCATGGAAGACAGAGACTTTTGCACCATCAAAATCAGCCATGATAATATCTCAATTCCTGCATGCAAATGGTATGAAATAGCAAGGTTACTAATGTACCACATATATAACTATTCTTGAATAAAAAATAATTTTATTTACCTTGATTTAGCATCATATGTGCTTCCAGCTGCCTCAAAATGGGAAACTGCTTGTGCTGAACTTGAAATTAACCCTTGGTTTAACCATGAAAATCCCGCAGACATATCTAGAAGAAAGCATAACTATTTATGATAGTTACTTACATTTTTTCTTTCTTTTACAATTTTAAACTTGCATTCTCTTTGCAATTAGGATTCCTCAATTTAGTTTAGAAGGTACCAGTAGCTTGAGTTTTATACTGCACATGTGTCCTGTTTAATCAAGATGAAATTATATCCTGTGTTTGTGGATTCACTTAAGCCTTGCACTCAGCTTTTCCCTCTGTCTGAAGAAGATTCACCTGGCTGGTGACTGTATGCAATCACAGGTATCTGAAATGAGTTCTGGAGTCCTTCATGGAAACTTACTGCCACAGCCTGACCCTGTGAAATGCCCAGACAGCTCCAAGTGCCTTGGCTGCCCCACTTGGGGAGGGTACAAAGGAATTGTATTTATTTGGGTTTGAGACAGTGCAGTGAAGCCACCCAGGCAGTCTCTGAGTTGGTGTTTCAGGCAGTTTCAGCCTGGTGCTCTCATGGCTGGCTGTGGGGCAGCATCCTCAGCCACTGTGCCCCCAGCCAGAGCTGGGCAGCAGCTGTGGACATGCACAGACCATGGCAAAGGGCTGGTGCCAAGAATGGAAGAGAGCCCGTTGTACACTGCACATGAGACATGAAAGGCACTCTCCTCCCTAGGGACAGGAAATGGGGGCGTTAAGACCCCATTAAAATGGTCTGGCAATAATGCCAAGTTTCTTTAGGCAGTTTGTTAAAAACCCCCTGAGAGATGTGAAGAGGTTACTAACAACCCCCACAGTACCTGTTTTCAAATTCCCTAACAAGTAGTTATACCTGTCAGTTGTTTCCAGTTATGCACATTTCTGCCAAGAGAATCACCAAACCAAGTCTACTGACCCACTTATATTTATGGATTTTTTTTGTGTTTCTAATTTGTTTCTTAGATAAGGCATTTCTAGTCACCTACCCAAATTCTATCTCGACACGAAGTTAACATCAAAACAAAGTTACCAAGACTGTCTAGTTCTTTTCTATGGCACTTGCATCTGGTTCCAGCTAGATGCATTAAATCAGAAGTCAGAGTCCTTACTGTTAAACTCTGTGCCTAACCAAGCCTCTGTTTTAGACAGCACAGTGGCAGTAACTGGGACTGTACTACTCATAATTATCTCGAGTTGTTCTATAATAGCAGGTAAGAGAAATAACTGTGTTTGTTACACACACATTCTCATTTGTCCTGTGTCCTTGTCAAGCGTTGGTTCCTCTAGATTTGGCAGTGCTGCCTAGCACAGGGACTGTTGGAAGCAGGCTGACACAGCCATGTAAATTGGCTTCACAGGCTACCTTGGTTTGTGCTGTGGAAAGCTGTTGCAGCAAGGTATTTAAATGCCATGGTACCAAGCAAGGCTAGCAAGGGTGGTGTTCCTGGCAGCAGTCCTTGGAACATGATAGCAAACGTTGATAAATGGCAGTTTTGGGGTGATGTGTGAGGACAGAATAGATGAGAACAGTTAAGTGTGCCTGGAGCTCGATGTCTTTCATCAAGATTGCGCTAAATGCAGGTTTCATGTTACAGAGAACGTGTTCTCACAGCTTCCTCCTGTCTGTGCAGGAGGAGGCTAAACCATTTGGAATGACTGCATTGTATTTAGACTAATAGAGCTGTACCACAGTGTTGTTCCCTGGATTTTGAAGGAGTGTACCTGTGTGTACATGTTTAATATTTCAGAAGAATAACAAGACACTGCTGGTAATCATGTGGTTTATAAACATTTCTGGATAATAACTCGTTAGTCTTCCTTTTGAAGAGCAAAGTAGAAGCATGGCAGAAAGGTGGTTCATACAAGCATATCCCTGCCTTGAATTTTCATTGCCTCATATTTCTAAATATAATATATATTTCAATAATATAATATGTATTTCAACTTTCCAGTGGGCTCTGAGGAGCAAGGGATAAGAAGTTTGTGAAAGGTGGGGAGTTGAAGCCATTTCCAGTATGGTTAAAGTCTGTCAAAACAGAAGTGTTCCTACAATGAAAAGACATTTCTTCTGGCAGTGTAGATCAATTACTAATAGCTACACATAAAACCAGGGAAAGCAATTTGAATAAACTTCCCAAGATGGTGCAGTCCAATCCATAGTGGCATTGTTATATACTAGGCATATCTTGTAGCAGATACTCTTGGTAGAAATTTATACTTTATTTGAGAGGGCTCTAAAGCAATACACTCAATAGCTTTAGCAGTTAATGTACAAATGCTGCATGGGAGTGTTCTTGACATCTGAACAAACTTGCTCAGGCAGTGGGTGCTCTTAGCTCTTTAGTCCCATCTCCAGCCCATTTTCCCATCATGGATAATTACACAGGTAAACAGCAGAGCACTTCTTCACACAGGTTAACAAACCAAGTCCTAAACTGCACCACTTTGCTCACTGCCTCAGTGGGAAACATAAGGTAAGATGTTGTTACCTCAACTGTTAGTGCCTCAGAAATCTTATTTCCTGCTTTTTTAAACATCTGCAGCCTCATTTCTAGTAGTCACAACTCAACTAACAAAAGTGGGACTTAGTTTTGTGTTAAGTGCCTGTAGGAAGTGTACAGCCCAAAAAAGAGAGATGTTACTCTGGCTGCCGTTGTGCGAGTTGATGCTTGTCCCAGGAGTGTTTCTGCTCACCCAGCAACCTCACTGCCCCCTTTGCACTTGAGCTGTTCTGGCTGGAGCCCTTTGCTACATAGTTCTACTTGTTTAATTGTTTAATTGATGCAAACTCATCTGCCAGACAAAGCCTGCACTTTAGTACCAGGAACCAGCTCAGGGAGAGCACATGGGAAATCACCTGGGTCAAAATGCAGAAATGGGCAGGAATGTATAATTAGGATTGTGTCCTTGGGATGTCCTCTTAAGCTGAGGCAAGTGTCATGTTTTAGACATTTTCAGTTATGACAGTCAAGCAGCAGAAAAATGTCTTACAAAAATAATGTAAGATACACAGAATCTTAGAGGTCAATATGCCTTAGCTTCTGCTGATTTCAGTGGCAGGCATACCTGGGAATCACACCAGTGTAATATTTAAAATGCATATTACAAAAATACATTTATTTACTAAAACATGGTGAAACTAGCAAACCTAGAAGACACTACTTTTATGAAATTTGGGCACTTGAAGAATGGCTGAATTCACACAACCTCTTCAAAAGAAAATCCACCAATAAAGCTTTGATGTGCACATCATCAGTTCAGCAGTTCCAAGCATTTTATGTGCCTGTTCAATGCAAATAGAAAATTACTGCTTTTCAAAGCTGAGATGATCCAACATTTTTTGTCAAGTAAAAGTTTCTTTAGTTTATCTGGTTTACACTTGGGATTCTTCCAACTGCTTCTCTAGTCCTACTGGTAAGCATTATAGTGCAAACTATTGTTAGTGTTTAGAAGTCAGGAATTATCTGAAATAATGTCCAGGCTAAGGTCAAACTGACATTGTACAGGAAATAATTCACCTATTTGGACATGTTAGAACAGGAGTGGCTTCCAGAGCAGTTGTGTGTCTGTCTAGACTGGCTGTCTAGAGCAGCTCCTGGGATCATAATGAATCTTGAGTGCAATATATTTACTCAGTGAATCAATAAGAGACTTGGATCTGTTTTCCTGGTATAGTGGTGACTGAAGCCACTGTCCTTGGAAGAGCCATCATGACAATGTAGAAGTAACCATGAATTCTAGAAACCAGGGATGACCCTTCTATTTCCCTACTCTTGCTGTGTAAGAAAATGTCTAAAGACTCCCAAGGTTAATATGGGAAGATAACAAAAAAATGTAATCAGGTAAATGCTGGCTTTTCAAATATTGTGCAAAACATTTAAATCTGTTTCCTTTATTGGTCACTTACTGCAATTAGAAACCACCACTATGCAATTCATACTGTTAACTGTAGATTTGTGTAGCACAATTATGTAATAAGGAACAGACAGAATAAACATTTAAAATTAATACATGTACTGGTATGTAAAATAAAGTACCTGTTTTTTTTAAAGTACATATACTAGCAGGAATACTTCTAAGCTAAATTTTACAGAGGCTGAAACAGCTGAATGTAATCCATGTATGAAGAGTATATTACTTGCCTTAATGATTTTTGAGCAAAAAATAAAATCAGTGCATTTCCTATGATTAAAGCTCTATACAGGTACCAGGCTGCTGGTTTGCTACTAGGAAAGTACTCAGTAAACAATGTCATGACACTGGGTTTTTTGCAAATGTAAGGAAACCCTACTCCCTGGAGGTAAATTAATGCAGGCTTAAAATGAGAAAGGAATTTTAGTTTGATCCTCAGCACATGGGAGCAATTAAGTAACTTCAACATTGCAACACTATTAAAAGACATGGGTTCTGCTCCTTTCCCCTTTTTCACACTGCTGATAAATCACATGCTGATAAATAATGTTGAGTAAACCTGTGAGGAACAAATCAAGAATTCTTTCAACTTCTCTTTTTACTGTGAATGCCATTTTATAAAGACTTCAGGTGCGATTTCAAAATTGATCAAAAATAAAATAGGAAATTTTAGTTTTAAAACCCACAGGACAAGAGAACCAGGAAAATACAGATAAATGTTAATAAACATAAGCACATCTGATGTAGTTTGAAATGTTAAGCCATTTAAAATGTAAACTTGAGAAAATGCTGGGCTAAGTTAAAGCTGTGGTGCAGCAAGAAGGACACAGTGACAGTAACTATAGGAAGTGACAGCAAATTGTGGCAGCTGTAGTCCAGGGATGGACTGAAGGAGTTCCAGTCTTGTGTCCAAGCACGACCTGTTCAAACAGGGCAGGTAAAAGCCCCTGCCTGGGACACCTGTCCTGAAGTCTTTGGACTTGCTTTATTTAGAGAAGCTCAGTTCTCAGGTGGCACCTGCTGGCTTCTGAGGGATTGCACCCAACCAGCTCAGGGTGCTCTTTTTTCTTTCCTTTTCCTCAGCTTGGGAAGAGCTGCCTTCTTCCAGTTTGCTCCTCCATACATTCAGTTACTCAGAATTAATACTAACATAAAAATTTGTTCTTGGTGTCAGCTTAGTTATTTAAGAAATAATTTCTTCATAATGCAGCTCACACATCACACTGTTATAAATCAGTGTGCATTAAGGACAATTAAGATAAACCTTCCAAAATTAACAGCAAAACAATTGGTTCATGTATCAACCCTACCAAGTCCCCCAAACCCTGAAATGTGCATATGTAAGTTAATATAATTAAATTTGCTTCAGTTTAGTAAGGTTATGGATTTGGTCAGAAACAATATTTCACTTACCTGTGATGTAGCCTTCCAAAGCTTTTGGCACCAGTGATTTTGCAGTTCTCAGGTCCTCAGCTGAGCATTTGCCTGCTTCGAGCCCAAAGGACATTCCCATTCTCTTCAGCACCTCACTGTCATCATGAATCTCAAAAGTATTATCGAAATTAAAGAGGTATTCAAATCTGCATGGAAAACATTAAAAGTGAGATGGTTCTGAAAAGAGCACAGCTGTGCTCTTCCTGCCTATTCTTTCTCTGGTGGTTTTGGCATGTACTAAGGTAAGCACTTAGAAGTCCTGGTTTTCTGTAAGGGGTCCTCAAGGAAAGAGGAGTGCAAGAAATGCTTCCTCTTTTCTGTGACTGGCATGCCTACAGGTTTAAAATGGCACATTCTCAATTAAAGTAACTTCACCATTGCAGAAACAAAGTTTAAAATTTTCTACCTCATTAAGTCGATTCAAAGGGGAAGAGGGAGGCCTTAATTAAACTTGAACCTTCACTTGCACTAAAGCCAATAAGGTCACCTGAAGCCCTGTCACCAAAATAACTATTTTGTTTTTCTGCTTTCACATTTCACTTTCTGTTCTAATGTGCAACACTCCTCCTGTGAACTGACCTATTTACTTTGGTATAATTTTACTTCTCTGGATGCAGCTAGAAAAGCAGTCTGTTCAGAGTCATGTGTGTTCACAACCCACTGTTTCTGCTGCAGGACTTTTAAAGTGTTTTTAACTGCATATAAAAATGGAAATTGAGATATAAACTTCAGACAGCTTTAAGAAATGCAGGGGCATTTAGGCTGGTCTTACACTGTCATCACAGGTATTAAAAGCCTGGACAGTTCTGGTCTGTAAAATAAGGCTCAGTTCCCAGTACCTCCTGTCCTGCCAACAAAACCTTTATCCTTGGCAAAGCAACTCATCTGTGAGATACAGTCTTTAAAAGATAACTCACTGGTGGGTCTTCCATTATCTCTCCAAGCTCATGTCACATGTCAATTTTCTTGCTAGGTTGTTTTCTAATGCTTATTTTCTTATACCTGAACCAGGAAACTTGGAAGCTTTACAGTTCTTGAGTTTATACATATAATTTTTAATTGGTAATATAGTGTTTTGTGCTGGGTGTAATTATCAGTTACACACAGCATTTCTTCTGTGACTCATACCATATTACTTGTTAAACCTATTGTTTATGTACCTTTATTTATTTCAGCATAATCACATTAAGAAGGAAAATAAGATGTGTCATTTTCATTTCAGCCTGTACAATTACATCGCTGCTGCCTAAACTGGCACAGCTCGGTGTCATACCAAGCTACCACCAGCAAGCTGTAATTACTGACTCATAACTGAATTCCAATTTATGGCACAGCATCAAAAGCTCCATTTATTGATAGCTCTGCAATTCTTCTCCCATGTGCTGTGGCCAAATACTGGATGTCAGAAAGGAAGGCAACTTTTCCTTTCCCAGCAAGTTTCGAAACTGAGAAATTTACAGTCTTCAGTATTTCCCCAGTTTAGTTTCTAGCAGCCTGCAGTCACTGATACAGGAAATCCCTACACTTCCATTTTGCTGTTAACAGCTTTTTGAAGATTTTCTTTCAGGCACTTGACATGACCCCCTTCTGAACTATAAACTTTTACCATGAACAAAATCAAATATTACTACTTGCATAGAGTGTTACAAAAACCTTTTTGTCATCACCTGGTTTCTTCTCTTAATGTCTCTCAATTAATTTAATAAGCAACTGTGTGCAGCTGTTCTCTATACATGTTCCCATATCCTCATGACTTTTGAGACACCTGGGAATGCACTGTCCTCTCCTCTCTAGGCCACAGAGCCCATCTGCTCCTTCTGTCAATGCCCTTCTACAGCCTCAGTCCTTCTTGCTGCTCTCCTGTCTCTCTTGGTTATGCCACACTCGTCCCAAGAACATGAGAGTGTAGTATTCCAGATATAAAGCACTATATGCATCTAGCTTTACACTGTAGTCCTTGCTGGTTTTCCTAGTAATTCCCAGCATGATTTCAGTTGTTACTGAGAAATCGACTTTTGTTCTCACAGGAATTATCTGCTGGGCTACCATCTTATTATTCAGTGATACAAGGCAGGTCCAGAGGCTATTAATATTGTGTATGCAAAATTTGGGTACAATTCCAGCCCCTTTCCCATGATAAGTGCAAATTTGATCACCAGTGATTTTAATCTGGATTTTCTGCTGCTACAGGCAATTCTTTCTGTAAGGGTACAAGAGGCCACTTCCTACACATTCTTGCTAATACACAGCACTGTATCTCCAGTGCTGTACAGAATCTGCATTTCCCCTTAGAGATGTTCTAATTTCCCAAGTTTCTGATACACCTATTGTGTCTGAATGCTTGTTTACAACATGGTATTCTGGCTACTTTTTCTTTTTTTTTCCTAGGACCAACAGCATTTATACAGAAGTACCATATACACTAAATAAGTTTTTCCTGTTTAAATGGGACTTACTTGTTCAGGTGCCTCATCTTTAAAATTAGTTCTTAACTACTTCCTTTTTACCTGAAGACTTTGCTTTTCCTGCTCCAGCTTCAGAAATGCCATTCCCAGCATGCTGCTTGGCACCCATCTACCTTCTCAAACCCTAAACAAAACTTGCCCAATAACTTCTCTTTTTTTTTTTTAAATTTATTTGTGAGACATTTTGCTCTGTTTTGGCTGTTCTTGCATAGGGGAAACACGTAGAGGACACACACCTATTTTCCTTCTGACACTGTATCACCCTTATATGTATGACATTTCCAAGCAATTACTTTCTGTAGAAGTTCCTCTGTAATTTTGTAATTCCTCTACAGTTTTGAGTAGCTAATGCTGTGAGCTTGGCTCTTCACTGGACTTACTAACAGCAGTACTTTATATAAATGTTATTTGGAGAAGAAAGGAAAATGGAAGCCCCTTAAAAAGTGGATTCAGTCTGGAACCAAGTGCAGAGCAAGCCCTCAAGCTGACCAGTGATGGAGTCAGGCAGCAGAAATACTCCCCAGTTAACTACAGACTGGGAATTCTCCAAACCACCTTTGCTAACTGCCTTATTTAGCAGATCAGGGTAACAGTGGTTAAAACAGAGCAGCTTCTGGCACTGTTTACCTATTACTGCTGCCACTAATTAGTTGCACAAATAATAACCCCAGTGGAAAGCTGGCTTAATTTGGGTTGTACACTTAATGATGTCCAGGTGACTACCACAGCTGAGTTATATAAATTGACGTATCAACAACAATAATTTTGGTGTGCTCACTTTTAGCAGGAGTGTTTTCACACAGCTGGAGAGCACAGAAACGTGTTACACTGCTCTGGATCCCAAATGCCAGATTAATCTCTGACAACTCAAAGCAGCAGTTCTGAAGTTTCAGTATGAAACTGTTCAACTCTTTAACAACTTCAAACCTAAATGTAGAGTCCTCTTTAACAGAGCAGGAAGACCTTCATAGTGAGACTACAGAATAAGGGTATAATTATGCTAAATCAAAAATGATCCTAAAGTTCCCAACTTGCTGAACTGCAGTGCTCTTGAGAGTATTCCACAAGTTTTGTGATAGAATACATTGAACTTCATTGAATTTTCTACAAAAAATCAGCTTTTAATTGCTGTTTTGCATGCTGGTGCATGGGTTACTAGAGTCTGTCTATTTTTGCTGTGTAATTGACTTGAAGTTCAGTACAGGATTTGCATACCACAGAGAGAAATCTGTCATCTACAGTATTAGAGCAAAGCCAGCTATTTCCAGCTAATAAACTGATTGTGAGCAGATTACCAGTTAAGGTAACAGCACCTCAAACTTCAGCCATATTTTCACAGGATGAAAAGCACAAACACCCACAATTATGTACCTGGAAGATTTTCAGATTAATGTGAATGCAACTGTGGCAGTTTGCTCACAAAGACAGTATTACAAATTTCTGTATCTTTTCCTTCTAAGAACTTTTTGCTGGTAAAAAACACTTTCAAAGTTGTCATCATCACCTGGAGTATGTTACTTTTGTGTCACATGGGTAACCTTGTGTTTCTGACACTGTACATTTTTATGGCACACTAAAAGACTAAGAGTAAGAATTCACATGGCTGCTTTAAAAGGTAGTGCTCTCCTAGTAAATAGTTTCATTCAGTTATTTCTTCTGTGCAGGGAATGCTCTTTGGAATGTCAGCCTGAAGTGTCTTTTACAAAAGTGAATGCCTGTTTTAACTAGAGATTGTAAGGCAGTGTTAATAAACTCATCCATATTATTACTGCAGTTGCAAAAATATTGAAAACAACAACAAACAACGCCCTGAAGTGACATCTGCAAACATAAATGAAATAATTACTTCTAGTAAACTAGAAAAAATTTCCCTCACTTGTTTGAGGAAAAATTCCAGTGCACAAAGAAAATAATAAAAATTAATTTCATAAACACTCACTTATCACTTGATATGCTGCAGTCTATAATTGTTCTTTTGCTAGTGTTGACTATTAAGAAAGGCAGCTGTATTGTGGAGGTCAAAGATGGAGGGCCTTGATTCTGCTGTTCATTTTGCTGATTTCTTTGTACCAAGTTTTTAAATGCTATTTGCTGCAAAATAAAAGAACGAAAAAAATGATCACTGACAATAAAAGAGCAGACATCAGTGTTTCCAGGAAATGAAACCTTATATCATAATGTCTTATTTACCAGCTCTCAATACCTCCAGTAATTTTTTGTCAAAAGTGAGTTGTGGCCTTACTTTCTCTTGGCACTAGTGAAGTTCACCAGGAGCAGAAGTTAAACTCAATTTTTGCACACATTTACTATTGACTGTTTCCCCTCATATTGCCTGGAGAAGAAACACGGAAGGAGCAGTAAGGCATGCTGGAGAATGCTTCCCCAGTGCCTTTGAAAAGGCTCTGGAGTCAGAGGTCTTCCCTGGTACTTTTTATGTGTAATTGCCTCAGGGTAGGAGATACCTACACTGAAACAGAAGTTCCCCCACTTCCCATATCTGTATTTTTATTCTCTTTCCCTTCTTATCCATCACCTTCTTCTCTCTCTCAAAAGAATTCTCTCTCCTCTGGAAGGTATTAAGCAGAAGCTGTTTGTGACACCACTCTCTGCCCGCTGGTTTCTTCTATCTGACTGCACATGTATGAAAATGTGTGGGTTTAGGAAATGTTATTTGAGGGACTAGAAGTCAGTGAATTAACCCACCTGAGGCACCGCTTATTCCATTGAAGGGGAAAAAGATGGACAGCCACAATCCCAAAGGACTGGCAAATCCTTTGGCAATCAACACAATCAGGGCAATAATGACAGTTGTAAAAAGTAAGGGAATCAACTCTGTCAATATTTGGACTAAAAGTTAAGAGGGCCTGAGGTGCCTTATTTTCACTAGTGTAATTTCATGTTACTGCTGGAGGAACTGCTGATGTATTGGGTCAGACTGATAGAATCCCAATTATACCCCAAGTGGAGAAACAGCTTTTAGTGACCAACAAAGAAAAGCATCAGATATTTGAAAGTTTCAGTGAATATCAATTACATGAAAACTGTATCAGTGTAGTTGAATTAGCAACAAAGTGTAGCCTTGTTGCCTGTAATCTCATAAAATTATTTGATTACATTTAAATTACTAAAAGTCTGCACAGACTAGAATGTTGAGGAATGCTTGTAACTATATTTATAAAATGTTACTTTATAAACAAGATGCATTTGAAATATATTTCAGCAATTAAAACTAAAACTAATCTCAAAGGTTGGGGCAGAAAGTAAAGGTGTTGGATTTGCCAGCCTTCCGCTCAAGGTCCAGAAATGTCTACGTTCCCCAAAACAACTCTGCACACATTTACACAAGTTCTGTTGTGAACTTCATAGCTTAGACCAAAGGGAAAATTTGAAGAATGACTCAGGGTAGCTCTGAGGGAACTTAGAGTCAACAAAGGGGACTTGTGACTTATTCCTATTCCCACTGAGGTTGGCAGGCCTTCAGCAGAACACCTAGGAAACCTTGTGGCACAGAGATGGAGCGTGCTGATTTACAGCAGGCAAAACTGAACCACAGAGTCAGCAAGAGCTCACCTACCAGAATCCAGAAAGGTCACAGGGGTCAAACTTTTCTCCTTAGTATGTCACAGCTGTTAGTTAAATCTAGAAAGAACTTCAGAAGGTCTAAAGTCTTGGATTTACACTTGATATTTTCATTTACAGGGAAAAAAAATTAAAATTAAACATACCTGCAGTAGCAGTTCTTGCAGTTGGGCTCGCTTCTGTTTTATCCTTTCAATCCGCTTCTGCTTTTCTATCTTAAAAGATAAATATAAATGCATCAAGATCCTCAATTACCTTGTCCATTCCCTTGTGCCAAACTGAACTGCCTTTCTCTGCAAATGGGGGCAAATTGCATGGACATAAGAGTTTCTCCATTAAACAGGTCTGGCAGACTGAAAGGTCTTTCTTTGTCAACAGTTTTAAGTCCAGTAAAGATTTAATTATTACAAGAGACTTTTATGTCCCTCCCATTCTGCCTCTTCTGTCTTGCACTGAGTGCAAACTGGCACCAAATCAAACACTTGCTAGAGAGGATGAGCAAGTGTTTGATTTGGTGCCAATCTGGTGCCAATTTGGTGCCCTTCTACCCTCCGCTCTTTGGAATTGTGCATGTCCCACTGTTCTCCTAGCTGCAAGCCACTAGACATAAATATATGGAGGCTGGGCTTATGATCACCTGTATCCTCCCAGTGACCTCCCCTTTTTTGTCTGAGACTTGACTAAACTGACAAGACTGCAGCAACAAAAAGGGCATTTTCTGTGGGAGCACCGCTCCTGCAGCAGTTCAGTTAGTGCTGTTGATGTGGGCAGGCTGCTGTACCTGGGACATGCAGGGCTGGCACAGGGCACAGCAGTGTTTGGCAGTGACCTCTGGGGCAATGCTGGACAGCAGTCACTGGGGCTGAAAGGGCTTTTTGCTCATCATCCTCTTTGTGCCATCTCTGTATCACTGGCTCCCAAAATAATAAACTCTTAAATTACCTTTTCATTCAAGCTCTGAAACTAAAAAATGTGGTATTTTAAATCTTAGCTGGCCCAAACTCCTTTCTATCTTATTTGCAAGGTTGCTTTGTGGTGATTCCCTCCTCACACATGTTAATGTTTAAAATGCATCCTTCAGTTGGCTTTCTGTGCTGTGACTCTTAAAACCAGTGAGCAGTACAGTTCTCATTCAGGCATAGTTCCTATATAACAAGCTCTTTTGCAGTGATTTTTGTACTGGTAATCTTATTATGGATTTACATTGTAAGAGCAGTTGCCACTTTATACAGCCTTAAAAGCAAAATTAATTTTGATTTTCACACCATGAAAGTGCAACTTTGTTTTACATTCTTTTCTATTATGTCAGAGGAAGCAACATTTCTTGAAAAATATGGCTGGCTTCCAATTTGTGCATGTGTAATTAAAGCTTGGAACAGTGAATTGCATATGATTATTGAAGATGAGACAATGAAACTCAAGTTCCATATTTGTAACAATAGCCTATACTGGAGACAATGCATTCACATGAATGCATGCAAAATGTAGATTTATCCAGAATTAAAAAAAACATCCTGGAGCATAATGACTGAACACATGCATTCTCCTTGGATAGATGTATTTTTCAAGTCACTGTAATGGAAACGGACAGTAAAAGCTTTTCTCTTACCACATCTAGAAAGACAATTGATGTAAATGACCCTGCACAAAAAGAACTGTTCTGTACTGCAGAGGCACCCACCCACCTTTTAAGATACCTAATGTCCAAGTGTCACAAATGGAGATGTATTTGCAGACAGCCATTACAGCAGGCTGCAGTAAATTCAATGATTTGTGCTTTTTATTTATAGCACATTTGGCCTGAAGGACAGGCAACATTTGTGCATATAAATTCTGGCACCCCTGCAAAAAACACTGTAACTCTTAGCCTGCTGAAAAAATAATGGAAATAACTGATGAGTAAAACTTCTTCTTGCTTTCTCTGCAGATCATAACTAGTATCTGACATTCCAGCAGGAATTTTTTTCAATTTAATTCCCTTTGAATTATATTTCCAAGTACAGACATTAATAGACAATTGGTCTCATTTTAAATGGAAACCATTTTGTGAGCATAACTGAACCATAAATTCTTTTTACTTTCTTCTGGTAAATTCAAGGTATGACAGACTTTAATCTTAAAAATAATCCCTGATTTCACCAATGGCCATTTTTGTAAGGTAAACAGCTTGGCTTTTTAAAAAAACTAAATATAATGTATACTAAATGAAACTGAACTAAGCATACACAAACATATTTTTTCAGTTTATTCCAATATCAGAATGTGTATTCCCATAGTGCACAAGCATCAAAACCAATCAGGTTCAAATTAAGAAAAAAATCCCTCTTCTAAAGAAGAGCAAGTCAATTATCAGAACATGTGAACAAACCAGAATTTCCCATGTACCTCCAGATTCTGACATTCCTGAGCTGAGTTTGTGGGAAGGCCAATCCATCGGATTTCCTTCTTCTCCTTTGAAATGATGTTCATTGCCATCAGGACGTTGAGCGCATCGTAAACTCTCCGTCTAATGTTCTTCTGATCATAAGCCTGCTAAGAAAACAATACAGCACTAATTGCCACAAAAGAATTGAAATAAAAAAGGAAAAGCAATTGAACACAGCCTCCACAGACACGGAGCAGCTCAAATGCCAGAATGGCAGTTCTGGTCAGAGTGGTGTTAAACAATGATCCTTCATCTGTGATACCCCTTGGACACCACCTGAGCATGCTTGGTTGCAAATGGAAGTTTCAAGTCTTCCTGAAGCATCTCTGCAGGAAATTCCATCATGGTAAGTCTGGCACAGTTGAAACGCCTGACAAGACCACGTGTACAAGAGTAGCCTTTTCTTAAAGTTAATTATTTTGTCAGATTCCTCTACTTTGTTTATAATTTAGAGGGAGTTCAATTCTGTATTTTGAGATTTCAAAGGGTAAGTCTTTATATTTGTGAACTAGTTAAGTGAAGGAGAGTATGGACTGTGGCAGGACAGTGCAGAAACAGAATTCCACGATAAAACAGACAAACCTGTATTGTTATAGCAAAATTCAACACATATTTGCTTACTGAATCTGTTGCTAGGTGGCTGTTAGAATTTGTGAATTCTGATACCAGCTCGTCAGCGACTTCATTGTATGAAGTTGTTCCTTTACGTTGAACTTTTTCACAAACTTTCATTGAAAAATGCCTCAGACCCTTCCCATTCTTATCTCCTTTCTTGCTTCTCTTACTGAAAAGAGAAAAGTATTATTTTAACATATTGAATGTTAATAAGGTACTTTGTTACACAGCAAAAGGTCTGCACTTTGTAACAGAAATCTGGACTATCTAAATGACAAATAAAAGTTTTGCATCAATTTCTTGTTTCTTACAAGTTGGCAAAAACGTGCACTACAGCCCCTTCCTTGACTATTTCTACACTGGTAGCATTTGAACACATGCTGCTGGGAAGATGCTTAAAATGGATTTGTAATTCATTTCCAGGTAGTCTCACAAAAGAACAACCAAAAAAAAGAGGAGACTCTCCCAGGGTGCTTATGTACCTGGGAGCTGTGTTTATGTGGAGCTCTCATGTGTGTGCCTGAAATAGAAAGGCTCAGACATCCCTGTGTAATATACAGCAGGAGATACTCAACTTGGTCATTGAGGGAGTTAAAATGTGTCCATCATAGAATATATCCACACATGTACATCACAGTATACAGACCTATACACCATCTATTCTATGATGTATCCATCACAGAACAGACACAAGAATCTCTTTTTTTGCAGAGTAAGTACATAGTCATTGCGTTTTGAGGTGCTAAATTAAGAACTGGCAAACTGTCAGGGTTATTTTCCATTCACCTTCTTCCAGAAAAGGTAATGGTAATAGAAAAAAACAGGAGCAATTGTTTTTATCACACAAACTAGATCTGGATATGTAGCTCAATAGAAGCCTTTAAAAAGTTCAGCTGTATTGTTTTTGTTTCTTTTTTCCTGTTTTTTTTTAATTAGTCTCATGGTTTCATTTGACAATGTGCTCCAGGGAGAGCTGTTATTTTACAGAAAAATGACCCCCATCAGCAGTAAAAAGCTAAAGAAACTATTAAAAAAAAACAAGAATGGTTTTCAAAATTGTGAATGTACCTAAGAAAACAGAATGCAGGTAAAATGAACAAAAAAGAATTAAAAGGAACATCAGCAGGCTAAAAAAAAAAAACCACAACACAGTTTTGATGTGAAGGAGTGAAAACTGCTGAAAGCAGGAACTGGGCAGTTCTCCTTCTGAAAGGCAAATGTGAAGTAAAGTAGGTATGACTCTATAGACAACATACACATTCAGTAACACTCACCTTTCTGAAAAATCTGACTCTATAATTTCTTGAGTCCGTTTTCGCTCCCTAAGACAAGACAATTCAAACTTAGGTTGAAAATAACATTATGGACCACTAAAATCACTGTATATGGGGCCTAGCTGGTTCTAGTGTTTGCTGTTACATGTTTACTGAACGGGAAAAATACAACACACAGAGCTTGACAAAATTTGAGGGAAGGTGGTTAGGACTTGTGGAGGAAGTTGTCAGAGCACACTGCCAGACAAATTCTAATCCAAATTTTACCATGCTTTGCCCACAGGAATTGAGGGAAGTCACTTCACCTGGAACTACAGGAAGTGCTGTGTGAGCTAGATGTCCAAAGTCCATCAAAAAGGAAAAGCTGGGCTCCTTTGAAAATTCCTATTTAAAATTCCTCCATATGGAAGAAGAATGTCTTGAAACAGTGCATAAGATATATCCTATATTTTCAAGCCAGTGAATGTTTAGGAATCTTTAAACAAAACCCAGGGTAAAACACTAAACATATTCCTGTTAGAGCTGATGCATACAGAGCTGGAGACAGACTCTGACGAAGCAGCTGCTATGAATTTTGAACAGCAGCAGCAGCAGTCTGCAATCACTGGCCATTCCTTTCCTCCAGTTTATTCCCCACAGCAAGCAGGGGCTGCTCTCCAGCCCTGCCTTTTCCTGCAGCAGCCCCAGGCAGTGCCCAAGAGCTGTGCTGAGCTGGGGAACGCTGTCCCTGTGCTTTCCAAAGCTGGGCTCCCAGCACAGACCTACAGCTCAACACCTGCTGCTGCTGGGAAGGCAGCTAAACAAAAATGAGGGGTTTGAAAAGCTGCGCTCGAGAGCCCGCACACTTTGGTTGTGTGATCCAGAGTGCACAACCAGGCCCCTCCCTCAGCAGCACCAAAGGGATTTCTGTCCATGGTGCTTAACTGGGGGCTGAGCAGCTGGGCTGGGGGCTGCCCTGGGCACGGGCCTGGCACAGCAGGGAGTGAGTGAGAGCTGTGCCCTGTCTGCACACCACGCTGCCAGAGCCTGTGCTGAGTCCTGCCAGTGAACCTGCTCCTCTCCTTTTGGAAATAATTTGGAGTCTGGGAAGTAAACAATGGGTAAAGCAAGCTGTCTTCTGAAGTGTCTTCAGCAATGGCTCGCTATCTCAGTTCAGGAATACCACAGACCCTTCCTTAGCTCTGTTCCTCAAATGGAAATATGGCCCATTGTACGGACTCCTGCATGCATCACTACTGACTGCTCTGCCTGGAGTCAGCTCGAGCCTTTTTATGGATGAGTCTCATTGGAAATCCCGTGTCTCGGCTTGGGCAGCACACAAACAGGACGGTGCTGCCTGCTGGTGGTGGCTGATGCCCTGCCCAAGGCTGCCCTGGGAATGCCCTTCACTGCACGGCGCTTTGGAAAGTGAGGGGTGACAATTCTATGCTTCAGCAAGCTGTGACCAGACAGCAGAGTTTGTCCCTCTCTGGGTATTGAAAAGAAGCTCTGTCTGGCCCCCACTTTTCACAAAATGTGCAGAAAAAAGTGATCTTTGACAACTCCTTTCTCAAATAAAATCAGAACTAAGTGCAGGTATTTCAGGAAATGGACACTCAGCTAGGAAAAAACAATCAGCCTAAAAACTGTGTGGCTGGGCCTGCAGTTTATTGACTCTCTGGGGAGGAATACAGTAATTGGGAAGTACAACCTATGACTGACCTTGCTTACAGAGTAAAATGGAGAAAAGTCAAGGCACAAATATTACACTCTCATTCCTGCTCTCCTAGATGCTCCATTTCCCATCTTTACTGTTGAAAAGGTAATATTGACATTCATCACTGATTAGAAAAATTAATCTAGATGCAGAAATGTATTACTTTTTCAGTGGCAAAGCACTACATTTCTGTTTTCAGACAACTAAGCTCAGCAGTACTGATATTAAAACAAAATACCAAGGAACAATGTAAAGACCAGATTTAATTAGATGAGATTAAAGAAAGTCATGTTTGGCTGGAGCACCTCAGAACCCCATGAAACTTGTTGTTAATGTAGAATAGTAATAAAAATAGCACACTGATTATATTCAAAGTGTTCTATTAGAGTTTATTCTTAAATGCCTGTTGAAGTGTTTTTACAGTCTCTCTCCCTGTAGGCACCTGCTGCTGAGCTGAACAGCAGCGCTACATGGATGCACCATGAACTTCTGGAAAAAATAAAGGCTTCTTTTAACAGGAGTCCTTGTGATCCTCCATTTTCACCAGAAACCAGACAGTGAAGTGACTGGTGCTTATAATTTGTGTTCATATGCTCCAGACATCAGAAGTGCCTCCCAGTCTGAAAAGCACATGCCATACTCCATTTAGTTGTGCAAGAAGTAGAAACTGTAAGCCAGCATAGATTCAACAGTATAAATAATGGAAAAGATGAGAAGAGGTGCTCAGACACCTCTAAAGAGACCAAAGCCTTACCCTGGGCCCCAGGCAGACGCCTCTGTGATGTGTGTCTGTGTGACCATGGTTGGAGCTGGGGTGTACGGACTCCCGATCAGAACACTCCCTGAGCTGGCCAGTCTTTGGGGGGTGCTTATGATCTGTAAAATTTAGCAAGAAAAACCACAGCTCTCTAAAGAAAATAGAGGTAAATACAGCCCAAAATCCATACTAAGCATTGCACTAAGAAAAGTAATAATAATTTTGTACCAGAAGCAGTCACAGTATACAGAAGAGATGGCACCAGAAGATCTTCATAGAGCAAAGCCATTACAGTGCTGCCAAGTTCCCTATTAGTTGTACCATATTACTGCATTATTCACATGGACAAGAACCAGACAAATGATTCCAAGTAATTCCTAGGTATGGCACAGAGATCTGTACCTACAGACACCCAACTGTTTCTTCATGAGTACATCTAGGCAACTTCTTCACAGAACCAAGGAAAAAGAGAATTTTAGAGAAACCAAAGCACAGGTGCAGGTATGTATTTATTTCCTGATGGTACTGGAGAACCAAAGGTGTCTGCCTTTACCCATTGCAGGCAGGCACAGGACAGATGTCACTCCTGTCACCTGGCTGCTGCTCCGGCCTGGGGCAGGGCTGTCAGGGGCCGCTCAGTGTTTGTTTGGGGCAGGGCTGTCAGGGGCCGCTCGGTGTTTGTTTGGGGCAGGGCTGGCAGGGGCCGCTCGGTGTTCCGGGGCTCGCTGCAAGGAGCGGCTGCGGGGGCTGCCAACGGCCCCGCCCCGGGCTCGGCACAGCCCGGTCCGGCCCGGCCCGCACCGCCCTCTGGCGGCTCCCGGCCGCTCCTGCAGCGCTCGTGCCCGCGCCGAGCGGCCCCGGAGCCCCCGCGGGCAGCCCCGGGCTCGGCTGCGCGCCGGAGCCTCCGCGCTGCTCCAAGGAGCCGCAGCGGCACCGGGGCCTGCAACCCGCGGGGGGCAAACAAGGCCTACATGAATTAATTAATTCATCAAGCAGGGTGTTGCTGACACAGGCAGGTGGTGAGGGAGCGCTAACATTGCCACTGCTGAGAGCTCGGGAACATTCGCTTAACAGCCTGGCACAACACAGCTGTATGCTGGGTCTCTTAGAAAGCCTGTGTTAATGGCATTTCATTAAGAAAATGTTTTCTGAATACAGCAGAATAAAAGAATTAAAAAAAAAAAGAATACAGATGGTGTCTCACATCACACGGTAGCTTTTGCAACTTCTACCTGCCATAGAACCTAAAGCGCAAGCAGGGCTCACTGAAAGCAAAAGCAGGGCTTGAAAAGTCCCTCACAAGAGTAGGAAGTGCATGAAGTGAGAGCTCTCCCTGTTGTGGGCTATTTATTGCACTGCCAGGGCACATCCTCAGTGGCAGAATGTTCCAGGGCAGTGCCACAGGGCACAGGCCTGTGAGACATCAGCGCTGACGTTCTCAGCTGTTCCTGGCAGGCAGCCCCTGGCCAGTGCTGGGGGCAGAGCTCTGCCAGCTGGGAGTGCCACGGGGGTGGCTGTGATGTGTGTGCCCCTCTGCCCAGCTGGGACAAACCCCACTGAACACTGCTCAGGTGACAAAGGCCCAACACCATTTTTATGAAACACATCAAATGGTTCTGTACTCAGGCTAAGTGCTTGGCAAGGAGGTATCAGGTTACTAGAAACTGTTCACAGTATTGCCTATTTAGCTCTTTGGCCACCAGAAAATCTAATTTTTTTCTCAAAACTAGATCCAAAATCCCTGGAACATCAATATACAAATACAGTTATCATGCACAGGAAAAGAGAGTTTTAAGAAGAGTAGTTTCAACAAGTTTAGAATTTCTACCAACACATCAAAGACATTCTCTGACAATTCTGGAGATTTACTGGTGAGAACATGACTTAAAGCATTCAAAGAGTATCAACAATGAGGGGATTTTCTTAATACACTTTTGAGTAATAGTTTAAGTGTCAGCTGGTAAAGCTGTTTCAATTTCCACCCAAAGCCCAGAAGATAGGTCCCCCCTAAGGGCACATCCAAGAGCATTGCTGGGAGTGGCACTTCCGGCATGCCAGGCCTGCTGTGCCCCCAGGTCACCTCCCCCCCACACAGCTGGGGCACGCGGTGGCTGAGGCAGGAGGCAGCAGTTCCTCTCGTGTTCCTGTCTTACAGCACCAGGAAGTCACAGCCAGTTACACAAGCTGGCACTACTGGGGTTCACAACTTACCATTTGGGGTCCAACATTCACATTGATTGGTCCCAAGGTTTTTGGCAAAATCTTAGTGGGAGAGTTGGTGCTGGAAACTGGCAATGTGATTACTGAAATATTACCTAAAAAGAATGGTAAAAGGAGAGTTTTAAATTACTTCCTTAGTAACCTGTGAAAAACACTTTGGCAAATTCTCCCACCACTCTAACGCTCTGGAATCAGGTTGGCTTTGTTTTATTTGCTGTGAACACACCCTCAGGTAAGCTCCAGACCTCTCAGCAGATGTCACAAGGACACCTCAAAAAACTATACCTTCACTATTTTACTTTTAAAATTACATGTCTTTTATTTCCAGAAACAATTTATTTGTACTTAAGACAAAGAGCACACAGCCTGACATTCCTCAGCATTAGAAGTGAAAATTAATGAGAATACTTCTAAAAGAAGCCAACATACAAATCCTACTTACAATCATACTCATATGTAAGAAATATACATCCATAAATCTTCAAAGCCTTAACTATTCCTCATCTGACTGTCCCAGAGCATTCCACAGTCATTGCTGATGTAAGCCAGCCACTGCACAGATGGAGTAAGGGATGCCTTTACAACTCACCTAAAGTCACAGAGCAGGCAGCTACATGTCACAATAAAGTCTCCCATTCCTTCTCCAGTGCAGGGTGTTCTCATCCCAAGATGTTTATCATCTCTGTGATCCCAAACTGCTTATGGATCTAAATCATCCTGCCTTCCACAGAGAAGAGCAGCTCTGTGCTGACAGCCCCAAAATACTCCTGCTCCTCCTCCATCCCGAATTGCATCTTGGATCTCAATTATTTGGAATTGATGTTTAAATCAAAACTGTTGCAGCACCACTGCTACTCCTTGGGTATTCAAACTGCTGTGCACAAGCCTCTCCAAGCCCTGAGCACATTGGCTTATCCAGACTGCCACTGTGGTGGCAGCAGCTCCTTTCTCTGTGACAGCTTCAGAGCAGGAGAGCTGGGAAGCCATCAATCAAACACCAGCCCCTGTTCCTGCACCAGCCTGCCCAGCGTGGGGAGGGCGGCTCTGAGGCCCCTGCCTCGTAATCCAGAGTCAGCCTGGCTCTGGCTGGGGTCATGAGGACAAGGAGAGGTTCCTGGAGAGCTCCTGATGTTCTC